CAACAAAGATTACGTATGGGAAAACAAGCACTTGTAGAAGGGCATTCATATGATACTAGGGAAAGCAATTTCTTTGTCTTCAAATGGGACATAAGGTTTATTTGTTTTATATCAAAGAAAAGGGATTACTAGTATATCTTTCAATTTTGGTTCTTCAGATAATTTTTATGTGGTGGTACTCAAAGAATCCCAGAGCTCCTTAACTCATGATCAGTGGATAGGCTTTAGGGCAGCATTCCCCAACCTTTTTGGTACCAGGGACCAGTTTCGTGGAAGATAATTTTTCCATGGGGGGTGGGGAGGATGGTTTTGGGATGATTCAAGTGTATTACATTTATTGGGCACTTTATTATTATTACATTATTAACCTCTCTGCTGATGATAATCTGTATTTGCAGCCACTCCCCAGTGCTAGTAGCATCACCAACTCAGCTCCACCTCAGATCATCAAACATTAGATTCTCATAAGGTATACAACCTAGATTCCTCGCATGCACAGTTCACCGTAGGATTTGTGCTCCTGTGAGAATCTAATGCCGCCACTGATCTGACAGGAGGTGGAGCTCAGGCAGTGATGCCAGCAGTTGGGAGCTGCTGTAAATACAGGTGAAGCTTCGTTTGCTCACCTGCCATTCTCCGCAGCCGGGTTCCTAACAGGCCACGGACCAGTTACCAGTCCTCAGCCTGGGGATTGGGGACCACAGCTTTAGGGGATCCATTAACTTCGTGAACATGTGCAAAAACATAACAGATTTTTTTGAAGAATAGATCCATAGTTTGTATCAGAGATTCTCATAGACAACCACTGATACAGAAACTAAAATGGTTTTATTATTAAATATTTAGAGACTAAATTGCCTAAGCAAGCATAAGATTCTTTTTTTTTTTAATCTTTTTTTTTTCCTTCAAAAATTCAGCTGCATGCATAAGATTCTTGAAGGCAGAGTTGTATGTTATCCCTATCCCTAAATATTCATATATCCCACAGCATAAATATAGTAGAAATTCAGTAAATATTTAATGAAATGATTTGAAAAAAGGAAAATTCTCAGTCTCCAAGGACCACCGTATTTTGACAGGCCTCATGTCATTTCTGGTGGAGGTGGGGGACAAAGGCCCAGTGTCAAAGTGTGGAATGCCTTTGCCTGGCTGGAGGTAGGTCAAAGGTAGAGTTACCCATCTAGAGGAGAGAGCAAGAAGTGTCAGCACAGATGCCAGTCCTGCGTTTACCTCAGTGGGATCTGAGGAAGTCACTTCCATACCTCAGATTGAGGGAGTTGGACTAACTAATCTTTATGATCCCTTCCACCTCTAATTCTGTGATTCTTTCCCTCTCCTATTCATCTCCTCTCCAACCCCCTCTCACATTTGAACTGATAGGCAAAGTCCCATTGACCTAGAAAGAAAATTGCCAAAGCCTAGCTCTGCTCCAAGTAGGTAACTCTCCCCTTTAAGAGGTTCCCAGGACATAAGTGAGTCTATACTAATGGTCATCAGTACACGCCTACTAATTTCATTTTAGTTTGAGCAATACCCAAGAGAATTGAAGAATCTATTCTAGTGTAAAAATCAGTGATCCAGGAAAGGGGGTCTTCCTGGTATAGTGGGAAGAACACTGGATTTGGAGTAATGGAATCTCAGTTCTGGACAAGGTACTTAAGTACATTTAATACATTATTTAATATACTTAACATATGGCATACTTAATATAAAATTCACCAGTATGTTCAAAATATTATGAAATTATAATATGTAAGTGTGTTTAAAATAATACCTAGTTTACTGGATCCTTGTGATAATTAAGTGATGTTTGTGAAAGATACTTTGTCAACTGCAAAGTGTTTTACTAA